CCTTCTCTCTCTATATGTGTTTTTCTCTCTGCAGAATTTCCCAAATTTTTTGTGCTCTTTCATGCTTCATCCCTTCTCTCTCTATCTGTGTTTTTCTCTCTCCAGAATTTCCCAAGTTTTTTGTGCTCTTTCATGGTGGCTTCTCCCAGTTGCAGAGCTATGGAGATAGCAGCGAAGAGGAGGGGTAAGAGGAGGGGGTAAATTTGTCACATTTTTCATCCCTTTTTCAATTTGTCCGGTATTCACAATAATACCATCATCTGAGAGAGCTTCTGAAATAGTGAAAAACTCATTTTTTACACGCATATGTGGATAGATGGGGAAGCAAGTTTGATGGAGAAATTTCAGGATATCCCTCAACCAAACGTGGAGAAATGACATACCCAGATGCACTTTGCTGGGATAGTGAGGAGAAGTCTCGAACCAAACACGACGTAATAGAGTTATAGATATTAATCACTCTTTACGTAAGCACATGGTCCTCACCATATTGTCAGCACATGGTCCTCACCATATTAAATCCCTTTCTCCTTGCACATTCACTATCATATACTTATGATAGTGAGACAAAGTCTTATTGTAGTAGTGGATATAATGGCTAATAGATTTAGCTCACTTTTTTCCTTTCTTATCATCATTAGGAATATTTATTTCCCCCATAAAAACTCCTACTGTCCAATAGAGGAGACATATGATTTCTAGCATTCATATTGCCGTTTAGAGTCACTGTAACCTACACACAGTTCCCCTCTTCACAGCCACCTTTGTGATAGTACTTCCGGTGACTCTCTTTGATTTTTGGTCTATACCATTTTTTCTTCAAGCATCTTCATTGTTGACATACTATATTCCTTAAGAGATAGAAGTGTAGCTCCTATAATTCATAACAGTTCAAATTACATCTTTATGTTTTCAACTTCCATTTTCGATCAGATCGTGAACGAAGGAATTTGGCAATGATAGCTTATGAGCTAATGTATTAATGTAGCTCACATTTCAAGGCTAACATATTTAGTTATGTACTTTGTTATTAGAATTTGGATTCTTTAAACCGTGGGTAACATTGTTAAGAAGGACAAGGACAATACACAACCCTTTCAAGCAAAATTTTCATCAATCTATTAAAAATAAATCACGATAAATAGATTTCACGCCACATCTTAATCCAAAATCTTAATATTTAATATCAGTGAAACTTTTTCGCTTAAATGAACCTCATATGATCAATTTTTAACCGATGTAGAATAAGCGCATGACATGTCAATTTGACTTTTCTTATCTCAAACTTAAATATAATTCATGCATTATAATAAAGGAAAAAATGTTTGTCATTTTAAATGACATAAAGTTATGTCATTTTTAATGAAACTACGCCTTTTTGGTGTGTTTTAACATTCTCTCTCCTCTATTTTCTTTTTATTTCTAATTTTATAAATTAGAAAAAATGACAAAACACACCAAAACGATATAGTTTCATTAAAAATGACACAGTTGTGTCATTTAAAATGACAAGCACTAAACTCATAAATAAATTACCTACCTCAACCTTACTATTTAACCAAATAAGTACGAAGATTTTTTTTTTATAAAAAGTATGAAACAAATCAAAGTATCAAACTATATCCCAACTCATTACCTATTAAACGAATTGTTTAAAAAAAATATGTTGATAATCTTCGAGGATAAGATGGTTGAGTAGAAATAGTTCCTGAATTTATTTAAAAAATTGTCGATTAATACAAATTAACTCGGCTATATCAATTTTTATGAATTACATATTTACATTAATTTATCTTATAGTTAAGTAATTAAGGTCTAGTTTTTATAAAACTTATTTAGTTAAAAAGGTTAAATTTTAAGTCATTCAAAAGACATTTTTTTATTTTTTTAAAAGATTTCTATTTCTTAGGGACTTGAACCCTTTAATCAGACCAGTAGTTCAGTACAAGTTATTTTCTCTCTCTCTTTATTTAATCTAATTTATTTAATTAAATATAACAATTATCAAAAATTTATATTTAAGAATTAGAAATAGCATTTTTCTTAATTGAGGTTTTTTTTATTACGTAGGTAATATTTAATTGAGATAGTAAAATTAAAATAAATGAGTCCACCAACTTCTTTCTTAACTGAGATTTTTTTGAGTTGGCAACATTTAATCAAGAGGATATACATAAAAAAAAATATTCCTGTACAACGAGTTGCAGCTGCAAGATACAATCATCGGTTCATATGCGAAAAAAATAAAGAAAATTGATTTTATTAAATATTATATTTAATTATTTTTGTTTTTCACACAAAATCTATTTAAGAAATCTTTTCATGCACATCCGTAAAGTTGAGTTTTGCCTTTTTAGTGATAAGAAAACTATTTTTTTATAGAAAAAGTTATACTTGCTATCTATCTTTCTTAGTATCTCTTATTATCAAATCTTAACAGTTGATTTTTGCTATAAAACAGTTATAATTTATCAAAAATTAATAAGTATGAGTCCATAAATTACAACCATTAGATTGGTGAAAATCATCGGTTATGATTTAGTAGTAAGAGGTAGTAAGAAAAAGAAGTAGTAAATATAACCTCTCCGTTTTATATAAAGCTAAATATATAAAGTTAAGGATAACATATTATACTATACCTACTTTTTTTTACGCCTACTTTATCTATTTTTTCTCAAACAATTTAAATTAAAATCTCAACTAACTTTCACTTTTTTTCTTCTTTCTTGAGATGCTAATTTAACGGTATTGGAGAAAAGTATGTAAAATATGTATAAAAAAATGTAGGCACAATATCTTATCTCCTCAATTTATATAAAGACTTTTCTTTAAAAAAATTATAAAAAAATTGTTGAGGATAGTGAAAAAGTAACGTATCGTGTGGGTCGTAATTCTTTCTCGATTGGGGTTAGGCAGGATCACCAAAATATTTTCAGTACTAAAGATTTATTGAACACTCGGTACATATCTTTTATCAAATATGGGGAAAAAATAACACATTTATACCACCCCTATTTTTTTATGATTATTTTTTTCCATATCCTTTTTTTCCTTTTGGGAAATGGAGTACATACTTTCGAAGCATTGAAAATGTGCTCCAGAATCACAGAGTAAATAAAGTATTAGTAACATAATCACCTAGCTCAATTGGTAATATAGGTTGAATAACTAGGAAGAGAACTTGGTTTTGATTTCCACCAAATAGGTTTTAGGGGCAGAAGAGCTTTAACTATGACTAAGTGCCAATTCGGGATCAGCCTTATAGTCAATAAGGATATCTAAGAGGCCAACTCACCTCAAAGAGATTAGGGTCAATATACCAATTATGATGTTATCTAGTGTGCGAAATGTCTATTTGTGAATTATGCCTTGTAGGTATAGCTAGAACCATATGTTTATCTAGGATTGGAAAAACGGGCTAACCCGACTCGACTCGACCTAACCCGAAAAAAATGAGCCGAGTTAGAGTTTGTTTGAAAAAAAAACGAGTCAGAAAACTCAACCCAACCTGACCCGAGTCGGGTTAGGGTTGGCTCAAAAATATAGCTCGTGGGTTGACTTGAAAAAATAGCTCGCGGGTTGGTTCGAAAATTGGCTCGCGGGTTGGCTCGTTCAGCCTATTTAAATGAACCTATAGTATTAATGCACGGGTTACAGAATGAGAAGTAAATGGAAAATATTCTAGTTTCGAATTTTCTTAACAACAAATTTGTACCAACATCGAAAAACAATCAGAACAACTTGCTACCAAATGGGTAAGATATTTGAACTAAACAGAGACTGCCAGCCTAACAATATAAAAATTGCAACGATGTGAGAAGATTAGAGACTTAGGTCCAGAGAAGGAAAGAAAATGATGATAACATGTGTAAGTTTTGTCCATTTTTATATTATATTTTGTATTTTTTTTTTGTAAAAAAAAATCCCATATTAATTTTATGATATTTTTCTGATAAATTATTATTATTATTATTTTACTAATTTAGTTCTTTAGCCCCAATACCCCATTGCATAGCATGTGCACAGCCACGGCCCACGGCTAACCATCTGAGGCCCTGACTTTTAGGTAGTAACTTCGAAGAGGATATCTATATCTTTTTTTATACATTTTAGTTGTGATGGGTATGTCTTATTTTTCTTCAAAACCATTAGATTATAATTTCATGAGAAAGAAAGTGTGAATGCCAGTTCAAATTCTGATACAACGATGTTAGTGAAGAGTTGATAGGGTACACATTAAAAAAATGTCGCATCTCTTTGTAAATGTTTATATATTCTTAATTATTAAAAAGGAAATGTAGCTCAGCTATTGAGGAAATTTTTTTTGCAGTAGCACATACAAAGTCCGGATACGGCAATGGATCCTAATTTTTTTTTTTTTTAAAATGAGTCCCACTTTTTATTTTTTGTGTCTGCTGCAAAAAAATCTTATCTCACTGGCGGCAGAAAAAAGGACCCTTGTTAAGAATAGTAAAATATTAAATAAAAAGTAAAGTATTTATATTTTCAAATTGAAAATTTTAATGCTTCCTTTTTCAAGAATGTAGTTTCTTCATTAGGAAGATAAAGAATTTTCTACATACTATAGTTGGTTCACGCAATCCATGTAGTCATTTTTAGCAATTTCTCATCAATTGATTTTTCTTTTCTTTTTTTGCTCTTCAATTGATTTTTTGAATCTTTGTCCATTGTATATTATATTAATGGTCTGACATGTTGCCATATGAGTCGTACAATATTACTTCATTATTTAAATCGTTTTATCTCACTATAATTTGTACATTTAATTTGTTAAATACTCAAAATACATACACTCTTAAAGAAAAAATGAAAAGAAAAGGTAACGCATATGAAACAAATTAATGAGTTAACTTTATTGGCAAGTGAGGATGAATAATGACAAAAGCCAGGTAAAATGCTTCAATCGTTTCAGTATCCCTCAAACTTTAACTTCAATTTCTAACTTGTGAGAGAGAGAGATATCAGAATTGTAGCCAAAGATGCCTCGTGGAACGCTTGAAGTTATTCTTGTTAGCGCAAAAGGGCTTCATGACAGTGATTTTTTCAGTAAGTAATTCAAATTCAATGGTAGATAACATACTATTACATGCCATAACAATTGTTGGTGTTAACATGAGAATGATATATAGATTTAAATGTTTTCCTCTATTTCATAGAATTTGTTGCATCAAAGTACGGATTATAAACTTAATTTTGGCTTAATTTCTCATAGCTCTGGAGAGATTATACTTTTCAATTCAATGGATGTTTCCCCATTTTTTATTTCAAGACTTCTTCAGTTTAAGATTGTAAATTTGTAATCAATGCAAAAGGGTTGAATTTCTACATATCATTTCTTGATGAGCAGAGAAAATGGATCCTTATGTGATCCTCACTTATAGGGCACAAGAACACAGAAGCAGTGTTGCTCAAGGTGTGTTTCACTCTCTTTTTTGCCTTCTTCACCATTTTCTCTCTAGTGGCTTGAATTTGATTCTAAACTCTCTCTTGGGGAATGATATTTCTAAAATATTGCGATTACTGAATTACCTTGTGTTATAGGTGCAGGATCTAATCCCAGTTGGAATGAAAGCTTCCTTTTTACAGTTTCTGACAATGTTTCTGAGCTTAATCTGAGGCTAATGGACAAAGATACGTTTACCAAGGATGATTTCCTTGGTGAGACAAAGTGAGTTAAAATCCCTCTAACTAGGATGTGTTACAATTTTCTGATGTATAGTGATTTGGAATTTGATTCTGTTTTTTGTTTCATTTGTTTTCAAAATCAATTTATAAAACAGAATTAGAAAACTTCAAAGAAATGCTTATAGATAGTTTTTTGGTTTGGTTTTTGAAAACAAACTAAACGTGGTTTTTTTTCTCTTTTTTCTTATTCTTATGTGTTTTAAACTGTTTGTACATTTCATTTGTGATTTGCCTTCTCAATTATGGTGAAAAACTAAAATGCACTTGTTTCTCATATATGCAGAATTAATTTGGAACCAGTGCATGTTCTAACATTTAAATGGCCTCCACTTGTGGTTATGCTTTTAATTGTTGGTACTATAGCCCAATTATTCTTAACTTGTGGTTGCAGTGGCAGTGAACTCAGCAAGGGTGAAGAGGAAAGCAAAATTGGTGGATGGAGAGAATCAGTCATAGATTACTAGGGGATCTATGTGGATGAAAGGAATCTGATAGTTACTAGCAGTGATATATACTCAAATTTCTTGGACCAAGCTAGAATTATCTTCTGGAATAATAAGTAGAAACAATTGCAATGGACATTCTGTTGAAATGCTTTGCAGTTTTTGTATTTTAAACTTGAGTTTGTCTCATCTATTAAGTTCAATATATTGAAAATTGATATTTCGGCAGCCAATAATCTCCCTTGGTGGGTGATCTCTCATAAAATATCTACATATCCTAAACTTGTCATATGTAATAATTTTTCTGGTATTGGGCCGGTTATATCAAGGCCTAATAGAGGAGAGAATTGCTACTGACTCACATGCATTGGGAGGAGAGAGAGAGGGAGAAATAAGGACCACTGAATATTTTTCTTAAGGTAGCACAAGTTCAGGAGAATTTTCTTATTACTAGGAAAATATAATTGATAGGAAAATGGAAGGAAAGTAAGTTTGGTAGGAAAGAGAGTTTGGTACCTCAAAATATTGAGGGAAAATTGGGTTAAAAGATGTATGTTTGGTTGAAAATAAGAAATAGATGGGAAAAAAAGATAAAATTACGAAAGTAACCTTTTTATTAAAATTTTGAAATGTTAAAGCGTGAAGGGGATGTATTGTATGATGCATGTCTCTCCAAGCGCATGATTAGAGCCCCACCCTTCCCTCACTGACGTGGCACTCACCATTGGGAATCCCCTTCGTCGGGATTCATACCAACACATCAATAAACAATAACACTCATCCCTTCTCTCTCTATCTATGTTTTTCTCTCTGCAGAATTTCCCAAAAAAATTTCGTGCTCTTTCATGGTGGCTTCATCCCTTCTCTCTCTATATGTGTTTTTCTCTCTGCAGAATTTCCCAAATTTTTTGTGCTCTTTCATGCTTCATCCCTCTCTGTGTTTTTCTCTCTCCAGAATTTCCCAAGTTTTTTGTGCTCTTTCATGGTGGCTTCTCCCAGTTGCAGAGCTATGGAGATAGCAGCGAAAAGGTAAATTTGTCACATTTTTCATCCCTTTTTCAATTTGTCCGGTATTCACAATAATACCATCATCTGAGAGAGCTTCTGAAATAGTGAAAAACTCATTTTTTACACGCATATGTGGATAGCCAAGTTTGACACACAGGATATCCCCAAACGTGGAGAAATGACATACCCAGATGCACTTTGCTGTGATAGCACTTGCGAAGTGACAAACACGACGTAATAGAGTTTTGGATATAATCACTTTTTACGTAAGCATGGTCCTCACCATATTGTCAGCACATGGTCCTCACCATATAAATCCCTTTCTCCTTGCACATTCACTATCATATATTCAAGTGTGATGAAGTCTTATTGTTAGTGGATATAATGGCTAATAGATTTAGATTATCATCATTAGGAATATTTATTTCCCCCATGAACTCCTACTGTCCAATAGAGGAGACATTTGATTTCTAGCATTCATATGGTAGAGTCACTGTAACCTACACACAGTTCCCCTCTACAGCCACCTTTGTGATAGTACTTCATTGGTGGTGATTTTTGGTCTATACCATTTTTTCTTCAAGCATCTTCATTGTTGACTCTATATTCCTTGATAACAAGTGTAGCTCCTATAATTCATAACAGTTCAAATTACATCTTTATGTTTTCAACTTCCATTTTCGATCAGATCATGAACGAAGGAATTTGGCAATGATAGCTTATGAGCTAATGTATTAATGTAGCTCACATTTCAAGGCTAACATATTTAGTTATGTACTTTGTTATTAAAATTTGGATTCTTTAAACGTGGGTAACATTGTTAAGAAGGACAAGGACAATACACAACCCTTTCAAGCAAAATTTTCATCAATCTATTAAAAATAAATCACGATAAATAAATTTCACACCACATCTTAATCCAAAATCTTAATATGTAATATCGATGAAACTTTTTCGCTTAAATGATCCTCGTATGATCAATTTTTAACTGATGTGGAATAAGCGCATGACATGTCAATTTTGACTTTTCTTATCTCAAACTTAAATATAATTCATGCATGGATTTTTATGACATAATTACATTTTTAATGAAACTACGCCTCAATTTTCTTTTTATTTCTAATTTTATAAATTTGACAAAACAACCAAAAATAAGTTTCATTAAAAATCAACGGTTGAAGATTTTCATAAATAAATTACCTACCTTTTTTTTATATTAAAAAGTATGAAACAAATCAAAGTATCAAACTATATCCCAACTCATTACCTATTAAACGAATTGTTTAAAAAAAATATGTTGATAATCTTCGAGGATAAGATGGTTGAGTAGAAATAGTTCCTGAATTTATTTAAAAAATTGTCGATTAATACAAATTAACTCGGCTATATCAATTTTTATGAATTACATATTTACATTAATTTATCTTATAGTTAAGTAATTAAGGTCTAGTTTTTATAAAACTTATTTAGTTAAAAAGGTTAAATT